GCGCTGACGTGTCGCTCCAGAACGCTGCAGCTTGGAATCCACTCCAGGGAGCTCTCTGTCGCCAGAGCTCTGACATTGCCCTGGTGCAAATGGCGCAGCCGATTACCTCGCGGAATTGCCGTCCTACGCCGAATGCGGGACTTCTACATGGAAATCTCATTCCACTTTGAAAGCTCCGTAATTCCGTTCGTCGGGAAATCGCACCTTCAGATACCTATAAGATCTGGAAACGCGACGGCAACCTCCGAGCCGATACGTCATTGGCCGGCTTCGACGGCTTAAAAATCCAACGAGCTGATCAAAGCTTTCTATTTCTCGGCGACGGCGATCATAATCACAACATCCCCTGCGGTTCATTGCTAGTACTAAACCATGACGACTGTAAAATCTTCGACGCATTCGAAAATGCCGGAGTTCCGATGTGCGAATCCGATATTACGGGGTTTTGTTCCCAAACAAGCGTGTACCGACCCGGGATAGACATAACCAGAGCGGAACTCGTAGGAAGAACTAACTGGAGACGCCAAGAGAAAATAGAGAGTGTCGGTGAATGAGAAGCTAAAGTTTTCGAACTACATAATGCGATTTTCAGCTTCAGATCAAGAAAAGTCGCAAGTTCCGAAAACGTTACGCGGGAAGTGAACAAATGTTACCTTTAGAGCTTGACGAAAACGAGGACGGTTTTCTGGTTTGTGAAAATCCAAATTTCGGTATGCCTGATAGGAGAAGGCACGGTAACTTTGTCAGAGAAGACAGAGAGTGGATTTTAGTTGGTCGTAAAAGTGTGGATGTTGTTTTCCTTCTTCAGCTCCGCCTCCCAGAAGATCGGTGAATTTTTCGATGATAACGCCAGTGCCACCTCCTCAAACGAAGGAGAAAAAATATGTGTGAAGTTTACGACCGTCCGTTTGGTTAACGGAACAGTTCCCATTAAAGACAGAAGAGTTATTACCATTACTTGACATTTTGGCTAACAAGGTGAAAGGTGTTCGAAGGATGCGAGAGCTGTTGACCACCAAATTCCCGCCGGGAACATTTCCGGTCAAAGTAAGTATAATATATATTTTTTGTTTTTACAAAATACGGGGTCCACGTGGATGTCTCTCTCTCTCTATCTCTCTCTCTCTCTCTTCCCCAGGATGGTGTCTCTTTTGTGTCTTTTAATGCGCTAGGCAAGCAAGCAACGGCCTGGCCTCTGCTGCAGCACCATTTCTAAAGACTAAAGGAAACAAAAGTGTGTTTTAAGTTCTGTGCGGTGCTTTTGCTTTGCTTTGGTTGTCTTGTCTCATTGGTCGGATTCACCGACGTGGACTTCTTCAGCGGTGCTTTTTCAGATCCAACGGTGATTCCCCTATATAAGAGACCCACATCTCCGAGGTTTCTTTTTCTCCACAGACAACAAGGCTTGCTTCGTGGGTCTTTTTTTAAAATCCTTTTCTGGTTAGATCATTTGGACGTGGCCTGCATAAAAAAAATTTGAATATTTGATTTTACGTAAAAAAAATATCTAAAATTGGATTTGAGAAAAACTATTTTTTTAACCGGATCGGATATTTTAAAATCGGATAGTATAACCGGTTTGGGAAAAAATTAGACGACCGGTTTTTTTACCGGATTAAAAATCGGTTTTTTTCAAATCGAAACCGGTTACACCATCCGGCCCTCCGAACCGGATTTTTTAAAATCCGATTTTTTGATTAGGTGAAAAAACCGGATCGATTTTTATCCGGTCCGGATCGGATTTAAATCCGACTTTGTGCATCCTTAGACGTGACCATGAATGATGAGGTGTCAGTATCACGGATGTCCAATGGATCAGGCGGAACCTGTATATATGTGTAGTTCAACTTCAACCGTTTAACCGTCTAATCTCCGTTTTAGAATAGGGACATTTTTTTTCACTCTTTGGCTTGAGTGATTTTCGGACAAGGTGGATCTTAGTAGCTTTCTTTTCATTGGTTTAGCATTTTGGCTAAAATATGATGAATTATTTGTTTGGCGTGGGGCAGCTTGCAATTCCGGTCGTCCCAACAGTAAGGGTGGTGATTACCTTCACAAGATTTGTTGCCAATCAACTGATCAAGTCTACACTCCGCTCTCAAGTCCTGGTCCTTTGTCCCAAGCGGCGGAGGGCCTGAAATCAGATAATAAACGTAATCCATCATCTGTGTCAATGTCTTCATCGTGGTCGTCGACTGCATGGTTAAGGTGAAGCAATAGTTGATCGGTGTCGGTGAGCAAACATCAGCAGCAGCAAAGTGATTCTTCTTCAGCGGCACACCTTGCACATCCTTTTGGTATTCCTAGTGGTTATACTTGGACAACCGTTGATGACAAGCCTAGTCAATTGAAGAAATCAAAGTAAGATAAAATGATACATTTGGAAAAATTATCGTTCGAGATATTTGGCATCCGCTTTGGACTGGATTTGTTCAGAACTTGTGTTTATTTTGCTATAATCCTAACCTTTGATCTCCATATTTTTAATGATCATCTTTGTATAATGGTAATAATGAGCATATCTTATATAACAAGTAACCTAAGAGCATGCTTTGAAAATGATTTCACAAGCAAATTTAGTTTTGCTTGGATGATAAAGAAATAAATCAGATTTTGATGTTTATTTATCTTCAAGAAAACCAACTGAACCCTTTCTCTTACTAATTCTGATCCAAGTTTAACCTTTTCCCTGTCGATAAACCTTTAGCAAAGAACTATTTTAAAGTACTGTAAGATAGGTAAACACAACTATAAGGTAGATGCAGAATTCCAGTGTACTATATGTACCTTGAATATATTTGTGGCAGTGCCACGCCTCGCTTTATGTATGATTTCCATCGGCAACTAGAGGAGCAGGATTTAATAAAGCCAGCAATTCATGGCAATTAGATGTAACAAAGTCATAGAGCACTTAGCTGGGCAGGGCAGATAAATGAAGTTAGCTGCCAAACTAGCGGGATACTTTACCCAACTATTTTCTACTCTTGAAAATGGCCCTGTACCAATCTTGAAATGTTTCATCCGGTGTCAAACAACTGCTAATTTCTATTGTTATTGAAAAACAATTACGGTGTTCCATTGTGGTGATGTTTAGAAGGGAGCTTCTTCCTTTGCTTTTTCCTTTTTAAGCCGTGGGTATCAAGCAACTTGTAATCATTGTATCATGATTAACGATTAATATTGTTAAAAAAAACATTTGATCGGATTTTTTTAATCAAAATCAAAAGATATATATTTTTCAACTTTTGAGAGGATCAACAAAATGCCTCTAATAAGAAAATTACAGTCCACAACTTATCTCGAGCATCCACTGTTGTGATGGATTCAATTGAACGATTTGGAAATTTAGAGGAATGGACGAACCTCAATCCTCCAAATTCTGTAATATCTCTGGTTTATTCCTTCAAATCTTTATACCTTTCATTTGATTCTGCACACAATAACTATAATGTTTTGAGGTAAGTTAACACGCTTTACAGACCATGTTTTTTTTCACTTGAGATACTTTAAGAATCTTATTAAAAATAAAAATACAAAATTTCAATATCAAATAACATCATCATCCTAAAATTATAATATATTATGATTATTATAAGTTTTGATTAATGACATAACTAAGAAAATATCTTAACAAATATATAAAAGGGAGGTCAAATAGAGATTGGAATTTTCTAGTAAGGAGAAAATGGCCGGAAAAAAAGAAAAGCACCGTCCCAATACTTCATTGCCTACATACTCTTTTTAGATGCCATTCTTGGGTAAAATAATGAACATAAAACATTGGCTTCAAATAATTAATAGAAGGGGATACAAATGTTAAGATTTAAATATCACCTCTCAAAGAAGAAACAGGAATGAAGATGCTGTAAGGAGTTTGCTTCAGACGATGGGAACAAGTGAGTTGGCAAGTCCTTTCAAAAAATAAAGGGAACAAAGCCATCCCTCAGTGGTCCTTTCTCTCTTACGTTTTTAAAGGTTCTTGAGCAGAGAAATCCCATTATTGTTCATCTGCTGCTGTTATCATTTGTTCTCGGCCACAGCAACCATTGTTAATCATCACCAGGTGCGTACTAATCTCCTTCATACCCTTCTCTCCGTTTTACTTTTTTGCTCTTTATCATTTACGCTATGCATAACAAGTACTCGAACTAAATCTCATTTCTTCTACATCATAGATCCTTCTTAGCTTCCATAGGGAGGATAACCTACCTCTGCAATTGCTTGTTTTTTATCCCATTTATATACACTGTTCTTAAGCACTTATTATTTTTTCGTATCAAAGTATGATAGCATAAATGATATAGGATAAGCTTGATATACACGAAAAGATAAAGAACCTCTCGAAGTCACGATTTCATGGTCCTCCAACAAAGGATCTATGTTTCAATCATAGATTTGGCTGGCAGTGGTTTCATATTTTTCTTCTGCTTTGTTGGAATTAAAACAAGGTTATGACCATTGGGTATTGGTTTCACAAACTTGTTTTTGCTATGACTTCAAAGGATAACAAGGATCTATGGCGAGCAAGGCACCAAGCTGGGCTGATCAATGGGGTGCTGGAGGAATTGGTGCCATGGAAGAAGAGGACGCCACAGCTAAGAAAGAGAACGACACCAAGAAGCCCAAAGGGAAAGGTGGCTTTAAAACAGCGGCTTTGAAGGGAGCCAACTTCAAGCTTGGGGTATCCAAGGGCATAACATGGGTAAAGAGTAAATACCAGAAAAAGAGTTCCTCCAAATGAAACTTAAAAAAATCCACTAGAACAGATATGTACTTGCCAAGGCTTTGAATTTTGATGTATTCCTCAAATTCATTTGAGGGACTTGTATTCTCCAATCGAATGGCAACGTTAAAGCATAAAAGATGGTGATTATTGGGTAGGGAAAATGACCGGATAACGTTCATTGGAGATGAAAGAATCATATCAAACAATTTATTTGCCTCCTAACATTTAAGAACTTTCATAAGAATTCATGAATAATACTTGAAACAAATGTAAATTTACAACTGGAAATCACTGATAAAGTCGGATTCTGAGATTCAAACTATAGAAAATAAAAAGTAGGAAATTCAGACAGTTATAGAACTGTCATTGTCAAGAACAAAGCATTAGCCTAATTGGGTGGGGTACCACTGAGAATTTACACCTTCTTAGCTATTCAAATAGATTGAAAACATTATGCTTCAAGAGGAACCAAATGTGTTCTCTCCACTGTAAGTCATATAAAGAAAACCATCTTCATCCTTGTTTTCCTCATAAATTGCAGACATCAAGGCAGCTGTAACCAAATTTTTTTTTTATAGAAGTTGGAGGTCTCATTAAAAACTCCCTTCGTATTCGTTCACATACTAAGAAGTATGTTAACGAACATTGGAAGGAAGAAAATAGTACCTCAAAGTTTATTAATAATAATACCCAATACAAAAGATAACACGGAATATCCTCTCTTATGATGTCATTCACCATTACAACAAACACCTTAAGCTCATAAAACCTCATCCAAAGTCACAATCGAATCACTTTATTTCTAAATACACCTCCAGCAATAGAATTAAAACAACGCAACAGAACATAATACAAAAGAGACGCAACACCTGCAACCATATAAACTAAATCAAAACACAATTAGAGAGACGAGATCTAATGAGATTCGTCTTCTTCAGGAGTCCAAGAGTTTGGCTTGAATGAAGGCTCTATCTCATGCACCATGATCTTGAAGGAGTTGTCACCAACCTTCAATTCCAACGTCGCATCAATTCTCGCACCAGCCTTTGCGAGGACTTGAATTTTTGCCCGATCAAAGGATGATGGTGGCTTACAGCTTTCATCGATTGCTAGTAACTGACCCCAACAATCAGCAATGTTCTTGAAAGTATCCCAATTCCATACGTGAAACGGAACACCCTCGAAAACTAACTATACTCGGCGACACTCCATTACCAAACTCTCTAACCAAGCTTTGACTATGGAGAACCACTCTGCGAGAGTCTTTGATTTATCGTTCTTCACACTTCTCAATAAAGCAGAGTCTTCGAAAATCATTAATGCCGCATTACCAGCAGCTCTCCTTAAGGAGAAGCCAGTGAGGCCCTTTGCATGCATTTGTCTAGCAAGATGACCGATTTTGATAAATTCTTTGCACTACCCCACTAGACAATTGCTCAACACCTGAAGTTTTTCTTCATCTATAACGCCTTCAGCTTTATAATGATTCTTCCTCGAATCATCTTCCATCTCGGACTTATGAAGAACACTTGTCGAGGACTTTCTCCAATAGGAATGTCGAGGTTTAAATTTAGCGAAAGAAACACCAATTTTGCTGCCGTCGATATGATAGCCATTCATTTTTGAGATCGCTCTCCTTGCTTCTTCGATTGATGCGAAGCGAATGAAACCAAAGTGAACTACTTTTGAATTTCTTTTATTTGGAATAAAAGCATCAAGTACCCGACCGTGAGAGCAAAATAAAGATTCAAACCTCTTCCAATAGATCTTCTCTGGTAAATTCTCAATAAATAACGTGTAACATCCAGACTTATCATTACTGCACCCCTTTGTGGTGGACTCTCCGATTCTCTCGTGGACACCATCTACTGTAGACTTTTTAACGCAACACCCAGTTTTAACAGGCACATGAGTTCTAAGAGATCTTAGAGAAGCTGGATTTGGAAATGGCAGTACTGGAGGAACAGGAAAACGTCCATTCTTGTCAAAAGCATCAGAATCGGTAACTAATCCTCTTTTAACAACAAGATTCTTCCTTTCCATCTCAATATGCAAAAGGGACTTCAACTTAAAATCAAAAACCATTTTCTGAAGGGCATCCTTGGTAGCAACTGCAAATTTTGCATTTGAGAAGAGAGCGAAACCCTTAGGCTTTTCTCCCTTGAAGTTTAATTGCGAATCTTCATAACCTGGAAGCCATCTAAGTAGATTCTGTAGCTCTCTCTCTTTGACGTCTTCAGGCAGACTGTGAAAGGTTAATAACACTTAAAGATAATATATCATCCCTCACCAGTAGGAGGGAGGGTGTTGTTCACAAAGACAAATATAGCTTTTTCGGCACTAAGCTTAAGCTTAATCCTTTTACGGACAACATAAACAAATTGTCCGACAGTCAAATCAGCAGGAACGAGATACCTAAAGCCACAATAAAAAAGAATTTTAAGAAAAAGGACATAAACAGATTACCAGGGCAAGCTTGGCAAGTAATAGATCGAATAACTCGAATGGTGAAGCATTGATGTTTCCATGTTCAATATAAATCAATTCACTTTAGAATAATAGCTTCCGGAGAACAAAAATCTACGAAGACAACTTTAAACAGGGAAAATGCAACTAACTTCTTTTTTATCAATATCAGGAACGTCACTCTTTCCAGCCTTCTCAACAATAATCTGCATGGTTGCCCATAAGCAAAGATGAATTTTAGAAGAACAATGCAGGATAAAAGAATGTTCAAAAGAAAGGAGGATGGTATAACTTAAATATTCTTACGGGAATTCTGTCAGGATATTTGGCCCTTATTCGAGCAACTTCATCCTGCCTCTTTTCTGAAAATTAGGAATTTTAAAAGCAACAACATTTTGCAATCAAATAGCATTACAAGCAATGACAGAAACTGCAACATAGAAATGCAAAACAAGAAGACACAGCAGAATATGGAAATGGATCACAGACAACTTGCATGTCTTGCTCTTTTCAATAGAGTACCCTTTAAGGTATGTTGAGACGATGTAATATATTATTGATTTAACAAAGAGGTGATCTCAATTGAACCATGGTTTAATAAACAAATTAAGTCTAAACAATGAAGAAACGGATCGGATATTTAATCCCCCAAAAAGAAAAACACAAAACGCCCAAATTGATTTTTAACACAACAAAAATTCAACCAAACACAATTTTCAACAAAAGTTCTTATACGAAAAATGAAGAGACAAAGAGACCAGGAAAAAAAAAGGGGATCATCGAAGCTAACCCAATGGATGCTCAAGCTTGAAGGAACTTTTCGCCATGCATGACTCGGTCTCTGATTAGCTACTGCGAATTTCAAACATTTAAATATCAACTGAAAATAATTTTTTTTTTCTAAATTGGAGAGAATAAAAAGAGAGAACATATCATAATAAAATCTGTCCAAAAAAACATTAGAAGAAAAATGAATACCGGACAAGAAAGGAGAGGCTTTGAGAAATTAGGGTTTCAATTAAGAAACACTTGATTAAAGGATCGATTTCAAGCTAAGAAATTTATGAGAAAAATTAAAATTTATAGAAGGAAGGCAGCAAGAAACCTTCTAAGGGTCTACTACCTGAATTGGAGCTCAACACGAAACCAAGATTGTCAGTGTTACATCATTTATTAAAATATTTAAAAATAAATATCTTAATTGTAATGCGATAATTATTTATCTATAATCTATAATATATCTATATAAAAAAATACAATTTTTATATAATCTATAATATTTTTATATAAAAATACAATTTGTTAAATAGTGTTTAACCACTTTGTTGTTAATCATCACCATAAAATTACATATTAATAGCCATTAGTTATTCAATCATATTTGTGTTTTTTCTACTATTTTCCGTTATTTTATCATTTCATAGAACATAATTAACAACCGTAAAAAGGAATTTGTTGTTAAACCTAGTTTATTTTCTCGTTGGTGTGTTATTCAATTTTTTTTTCGTCTTTGTTGATCGACAGTAACACCAACTACTCAATTCTTTTTTTTCATCTTTACTTATCGGCGATAACACCAATTTTAATGTTAATTATCGATCACCTATATTCTTTATTTTCTATTTTTTATATTGTATATTTATTTTCTTTTATTTTTTTTATTTTCAATAAGTATACATTTGTTGCACGTTTTCATCGACTTTTATGATATGTTTTCATCGACTTTTATGGTATGTTTTCTTATGTTTTTTTAGCATTTTTTTTTATTCTTTAACCGTTTTTTATTTATCTTTTTCTTAAAAGTTGATTTGACATCGTTATAACCTATTAAAATAATACTTATATAATATTTTATGTTCTTTCTTGCTTTTTACCCTCAAACTAGATTTAAATGCCAAATTTACGTTCGTAAATAACTTTTCACGTCGCTCGAGTCTAATTTATAATTTGTTAATAACCTTTCAATAATTTGATCTCTTTTTATGGTTTATTTGTCGATACAATCAGATTTGTTTATATCTATCTTTATTCGAATTTCTTAGTTAAATTTAATATTACCTGATATGATATGATATTTATATGATTTTATGTTACTAGTTTTAAATGAAATCTTTACTGTAATTTGGGATATTTTTTATTTTAAATAAAATTAGTTCTTATATACAAAAAAAAAACCTATTGCTTATGATACACAAAAATGGATGCAACGGTATTTGAAGGACTAAAACTATGGAAGTGAAAGATAAACTATGGAAGTGAAAGATAAACTATGGAAGTGAAAGATAGGATCACTAAACAATGCACACGCTATTGGAGATACTAATCATTTGCATCTTTGCTTTAGTACTTCTTTGCCGCATGGTACAGCTCCATATAATCAAGCGCAGGCCGATTCCATGACCAGTCCTGCTCCATCACTCTCTTGCACAATGAGTAAAACCAGTCCCGACCATCGTACCAAGCAGAGATTGCCCTATATGATTCAGTGATAAAATGAACAACTCGAATCAATCATGAGTATGAACAGGAGGAAATGAGAAAACAGCTGCAGCAAAAGTTATGTCTCCATGTGAATTATGGGAACTCCGGAAACTAAATGACAGCGAAGGAATGGATGAACAAGTGCATTTCCAACGGTGCTGATAACCTCACCTATTGAGGGCATAATCGACTCCACCACTATCAGCTCCGTCGAAATTGAATCCATTGGGCTCAAGACCTTGTGCTTCAGCTCTAGCTTTATCGTGGTCAACATCAAATACAGTATCATACAGTCCTTGAAACAGAAGTAAAGGAAACACAAGGTCAATACTCTCCGACATGGTCTAATTTCCAAGAACAGAGGCTAAACAAGACTCATATAATATAACATCTCCATTTTCCATCCAAGAGAAAAGAAAAACTAAATGAAATTGTAGAACATAAAGGAAATCTTTATGTCTGTAATTCATATTGGCTACAAGCTGCAATGCCCACCGTAATAGTTCATCCAACAGCCTCCATAATCAAAACGTAGAAGATTATCATTCAGAGGTATCAGAATTATGGATGTAAGATAGTACGCACCTCCTGTTTTACGAACAACGGGTATGGAACCATATCTCATTGCTGTCAGTTGTGTCAGTCCACAAGGCTCAAAAATAGAGGGAACCAGAACGAAATCAGCACCAGCATATATCTGTTAAAAATAGTCAAACAAGAAAATAAAAATTAAAGAACAGGTTTAAACTGCTGAGGTCATATTGCAAAGCAAAATATAGGTATTCTCCTTCAAAGAATAATAATAAATGAAGTAGACTTTGATAGTGCAAACCAAGTGAGAGAGAGGTTCATCATAGGTCAAAACAAGGCGAGCTCGATCCCAATGACTTGAATGCAGCTGATTGGCCAAATTCACGAAATCGTTTTGGATGCGAGGATCGGGAGCTGAGCCAAGTAGTACAACCTGCCACCAAAAATTCCATCAAGCACTTACTAAGATGCATTAAGTACAAGTATACAGTCAAGGAGGCCCACGAGAGGCACTAAACTTCCTTGTTATCAGAATACATCAGACAATGATCTCTGAACTGCATTATGCAAGCACATTCATTTCAAGAATGCAAGAAAAAGGATGGCCAAGGAATGTCCTATGGAGTATCACATCAATGTCACTACCATGAAACTCAGGCTGATAAAGACTAAATAGTGTGTAATCATACATGAGATCATGCAGGAGATGGTAAAAGGAGGGCAGGAGGGAACCTGTCCGTTGCGTTCTAAGGTGCGCAAAATGGCATGCTTGATAAGATGGATTCCTTTCTGGTGAGTTAAGCGAGAAATAATTCCAACCACGGGAAGATCAGATTTCTTCAAACCAAGCCTTTGCTGCAAAGCTTCCTTGGCAGCTCGTTTGCCTTCAACAACATTTTCTGAAGTGTAAGGTATCTGGAACAACCAGCATCTCACATTAAGAACAATAATAATTGCAAAAATAGGACAAAAGCTCATAGGAGATTTATTTATCAAATAATGGTATATTTACTTACAGGAAGGAACTTATCGTTGTACGGATCCCAAATATCTAAGTCAATTCCATTTAATATTCCATGGAACTTGTGAAGATTAGGAGCAACTGCAGGATTTCCTGCAACCTCCTTTGCGTAGGTGTGTGATACCTGCATAATGTGAATAAACTCTAAGACACCATCATAGAAACATGGAAGGTAAAAGACCATCAAATATCTTGTCTGAGATACCAAGCATGAATTGATACAATGTAGTATAGAAAATTATAATCTGAATGGATTGGAAGCATCGGAAAAAAGGTTATTACAGATGCATCGCTAGATCAATATATTCCAAATCTAGTGAATCAAACTCAATCATCTTTACAAAAACAATTCAAATTCAGATAGAAAAGTAAAGACGACAGAACTTTTCTTTGAAAAAAAGATTAAATTCATGAACCACCTAGCAATTAGTTATATCTCTTCAAAAGAAAATGGAGAAAGCTAATGCATATCGGTATGGAAGTGCAACCAAGGACATGGTCCTAAATTGACCAAACTATATACCTTCAAAACATTTAAATTAAATAAAGAGAAACAAGACAACCAAAAGAACCAAAATATAGTCAAAAACCCATGTGTAATTGATCATAAATACACTATTTATAAGAATATATCTATACATGTATAGAGCTACTACATTAAATAAACTAAATTAGACACAAGGAAATTTAGGTACATACAGTTGTAGCCTTGTCTGCATACTGCATAGCTTTCCCAATAAAGTGTGCTCCAAATTCAAGGTTATGTATGGTGAAGACAACTCGAGTTTTGCTAAGACCATAATGCATGTATTGGTCTTTAAATAGCCACGCAACGGGGGCACTAGACCAGTCGTGACAATGGATGATATCCTGCCAAAGGTAAATCACACTAAAATGGTTAATCCTTGGAATTACTTTTTAGTCCACACATTCAAGAAAGACAGTCTTTTAAGAGAATGGTGTACCCATAACATTCTTCTATGAATGAATTGTTGGGCCTATAGAGATGAACAGGAAAACAAGATGGGCATTGATAATAGCTAAAAAAAAATACTGGCATGCATGTAGGAGGTTTGCATGATATACTGCCATGAATGGGCATTTAACTAGTTAAGCAAAATGCAATAAAAATGTTGGCCCAGTGGCAAGAAACTTGTGAAGCATTAGAGCTTTCAAACCCAAGCATCAACACCCCATCCCCAAATTATCCAATGTACCAAAACAAAAAATTTAAGCATAAATATAAGTTAAATCTAAACTTACAGGCTGAAGTCCACCTTGATGTAGAAATTCGAGAGCAGAATGACAAAAGAAGCCAAACCTCTCTGCATCATTATTGCAACCATAAACACAACCTTTCCAGACAATTCTGCAGGCAATAATACACCAAAGCATTCATATGGCTGTAGTTTGCTTATTAAAATGAACCATTTAATTCTTAAAGGTGCATAGGGATATTAAAATTACCCATTTTGTGGCTCCAGAAAATAGACTGAAAGGCCTTCCACTTTACCAAACCAAACTTTAACTTCAGTGCCACCCCAAGAATAACTTCTTTGGTAATGTAAGTCCTTCACCTGTATCATAAAATATCCATTTGACAGATCTGAAATTACTAAAAGACGACTTCGATAAAAAAAAATGAAAAGAATGAATGCTTTTTTTCTTTTTTTCCCTTTTCTAATTATTAAGATACGAATAACAATGAGAAGCAGATTAAATGATACAAAACATTTTTAAATAGCGTCCACTCATTTTTTTTAAAAATACAAAAAGAGCGATGCATGCTACAATTTTGCACCAATATCTTATTAAAGGAAAAGTGCACCTCAGACAGCTAATGGACAATTGCTAACGCAACGTGCAAGCGAACAAGCCACATGCCAAGTAAGCAACAATTAAAACCAGAAATCCATAATTTAAGGAAATCCAGGCAGCACCTCCAATGAAAACAATCAAGAAAGAAAGAAAAAAAAAACCTTGTTAAAGAAACAGCAATGAAGCTTACATGGCTAAGTTTCAAGCAGTCATACTTTGGAAGAATGATGTTCACGTTGTGGTTTAAATCTTGAACAGCACGAGAGAGACTAGTAACAACATCACCAA